ACTATACCTATATCAAAGATAGCTCCAGTGAGTTTAACAACACCCATATTTCCAAGGCTAGAAATGGAAGATTGCAATGCGAGCTCCCTCCTGCTAGTAATCCAAACTTCCGTAATCAAAATCCACACCATCAAAAGAGAGCGATCGCACTTCTGCTTATCACCCCCTCCCCCAGTTACTTTTACCCAGCAGCGTCTCCATGCAAAGGAAAAGAATGGCACAAAATATGTGATCGTTTTTTAAACCAGTGGCAAAGAGCTCTATCACAAGCTCAACTGGAATTCAATTGGTGGGGTTTTTTTCCCCCTAACAACACTGTGCACGAATCTCCCCGCCCACCGACCGTTTTTAAAAAAACCTTTTGACAAGCCAAACCAGTTGGTTAAGACGCAGGCGATGTTGGGGGATGGGCAATTGAAGTGGCGTGTGCCCCTCTCCTGGGCGTGACCCGACAAATGCGCGCACAACAAAACCGCGCTGACAAAACCACGGCGCTAAAACCGTGATATCATCAATGCGACATCATCAATGCGGCAACAACAGCATGCCGACAGAAGGACGATTTAAATTAAGGTAAGGGTTAGGTTTAGGGTTAGGTTTAGGTTAAGGGTTAGGGTTAGGGTTAGGGTTAGGGTTAGGTTTACAGTGCACTTCTGTCGCTGCGCTGTTGTTGCCGCGCTTCAGCGCTCATTCGTTGGCGCGCTTTAGAACTCACGATTTTGTGACTGCAGTTTAGTCGGGCGCACTTTTGTCATTCGCCCTTTTGTCGGTGAACCCTCCTGGGAGGAAGGAGGGGAGGGTGGTGACGTTGCTTAAAGGGAAACCTGCAGCTATTTCCAGGTTTGTTTGGGTAATTTCTGCCTTCTGCCCATGCCGATGGGCTTTAAACAGTCCATCTTTTGCTCAGCAAGTTTCTCCTTTCCATCTGAGCATTAGCTAAGGGGAAGCTACCAACTTAGGGGTGACGCCCTCTGCAACCAACATAATACACAATCTTTTTTCCTCACCCTCTTAGCGCACCCCTGCCGCTGCCCCTACCACCCCCCTTGCCTCTTAGCACTCCTTTGCCGCCCCCTTGCCTCTTAGCACCCCCTAAATCATCCCCCCCAGGGGGCGGTACCGCCCACTTTGGGAACCACTGAAATAGATGTTACCCAAGGCACCAAAAGAAGCAAAAGAGAACAAGATCAGATTCTCTTTTAACTTGGTTATTAATGCAGATTTTCCTGGTTGCTCTTTAGTATAGTGACAGCTTCCTGATTTCCAAAGGAGGAGCATCCATGATTCTAGAAATCTTGTAAGGTTCTTGAGAACATGTTACCTTGTATTCTGGAAAAAAAAAAAACAGAGAGGGTGGGAGACAAAAAAAGATAAGTCAGTCTCCAGTTCCTTTTCTTCAACAACAGCATCTTTGGCATTTGCAAACCCTCTTGTTGTTACTTAAAAATTAAAACAAAATACCCTCCCCCATTGATATTGTGCTATTTGCAAAATTAGGCATTATTTGGGCCTGCTTGACCATAATAGGTAGCACTATAGACTATCTTTAAAACAACATAAAAGAAATTCATTATAAAGCTAAATTTGAGGATGGGACACGCTAGTCATATAGTAAATAGATTTGTTTAGTTCAGTGTTTTCTAAATTTATTTGGCCATGGACCATTTGGGGGATCTGAATATACTGATAGAATACATATGCGCTTTCCAAAAATAGAAGACCTTTATCCTGATACATTTGATTAAAAGGCTATATTTAAAGAATGAACAATTCAATCTTTGAAACAGCAGAAGCTAATAACGATAGACTTCGGTGTCGCAAGTGCTTTCTCTTGCAACTGCCACTATGTGCCAACAACAACTGTGTTTACTATCCACAAAAGATTAATAGGACAAATGTTTTTGCTTCTGCTAATCACAATTTTCCTTAACATTAAATCTTAAGACATTATATCACAAGCCAACAACATGTGGGCTTCACATGTCATTTGAATCTAATCAGTGTCATATTTCCCACCATTAATTGTTGAGCAGACTATGAACTGAAGATTGATTTCACCAGGCACCACAATTTAACTTGTTATAACCGCAGCCAAATCTATTGCCCTTTTGTAAAAAATTGTGAAGTTTTTCAGAAATATTTTCCCAATATATTAACAGCAATATATCAGGCCAGTATAAATCCTGATAGGAGAAAATCTGGGAACACGCAAATTAAGATTCTGGTACAGGCCCCAAGAACACAGTATCAATTTAGCACATGGATGTGCCACCCAATCTTAGCCTGCCTAAAAGCAGTCATCATTATAATACATTGATAAAATCTAACCTATCAGTCAACAAGTCTATGAATCATACCACGCACCCCCAAATTCTGTCCTAAGGCCATTCCACTCACCTCGCATCCCCCAGTTGACGGCATTTGTGCTATCATAGTGGAAGAGTTCAGCGCTGGGAGGCTGCATAGAAAATTATAGTATGGAAGAAGAAATGGTCAGTAAATGGAACGGGAAAATAATCCAGTTAAAAATTCTTCTATTGTTTTATAGTCGCTTCCAGCAAGAAATATATGAAAACACTTGGTTAAATAAAGATGTTAATAAACTTTTCCTGCCATTTGTTTGTACTAGTAGTAAGAGCGAAGGCTAGGGGGAGATTAATCAGAGAAATAGTGTAGGATGAGGAGGAGCTAAGAGGAAAGAATAAACTCAGTCATCTGGGCCATAGTTGTGTCAAGATACTTTTTCAAAAGGAGGAGGAGGAGGAGGAGGAGGAGGGGAGGAGAAATAATTTTGGTTCTCATCCAAGAAGCTTTATCGGTTCTGGCCAGAATGATGAAGCTTTGTGGATTAGAAGTGAAATGTCTTCTTTCTCTAAACAGTCCAGATGTCTTTTGAAAAAGCATCTTTGAAACAAAGAAAAAAAGTCTTCTCCAAAATTAGTGTTTTCTAGAGGAAAATATGCCAAAAGGGTAATAGCACATTAATCTTAGAAATGAAAATTGACTTAAAGCTTCAATTTGGAATATTTTGCCTTTATATGAATATTCTCCCCAGGAACCAATAACATTTTTGCTTGTTTATATTTAGTTTTGTATGCCAGTCT